GTTTCTACTCAAATATATAGAACATAAAATTCTAACCATTTTTAATACACAGATCAGTGGCATTAAGTCCATTCTCATTGTATAAACATGACCACTACCTATTTCCAGAACTTTTCCATTTTTCCAAACTGAAATTTTCTGTCAAATAAAATTCCCCATTCTTCCTTTACCACCAAGCTCCTGATAACCTCTTTCCTACTTTTCGTCTCTATGAATTTGCCTGTTTTAGGAACCTCATGTATTGAATCATACAGTATTTGTCCTTTTATGTTTTGCTTCTTTATGGCTGATTGATACTCCATTGTATATGCATGCATATATATATACATCACATTTTATGTATCCATACACAAATATTAATGAACACTTAAGTTGTTTGTAACAATAATTTTGGGGGGTACTTGGACTGCTTGAGCCATGGCTCCAGCCCTATAACCATAATTTTAAGCCCTGCATAGTCACCCATTAAGTAGGTCTATCATAAAATAGTAACACTGTTGTGAGTAATGAGTGCATACAGCATGTTCATATTTTAGGCAGTTTCATTTGGATACATTTATGAGGTTATTTTTCTAACTGTGTGCATAATATATTTATATTTACATTTTCTTTTAAAGAGACTTGATTTCGCATCAGTTGAGCCAGAAGTGAAGCCATTTGAAGAGAAGTTTGGAAAAAGGATTCTTGTCAAGTGCAATGATTTATCTTTCAATTTGCAATGTTGTGTTGCTGAAAATGAAGAAGGACCCACTACGAATGTAATTTTCCTTTTTAAGAATAGAGGTTCATTTAATGTTTGAAGAGTTTAGAAGCAACAGGTTTCCTATTCCAGTGCAAATTAAGTAGAATCTTAATTCCTAGTACCAAAACAGTGCAGTTGTTTAGATTAGGATGTATTTGGAGGGTTGCTCAGCCTGCAGGGCCAGGATGTTTGTGACTATGGATAAGATGGTAGGTTTATGCTCAGTGTTCCAGGAAATGGATTTCATCTTAGAAGCCTGAGGGAGAGCAACCGTCTGTTTTTGTGGAGCCTACATTAAATAGCAAAGCACATGAAGGTAAAATAATGTAGTTTACATCCTAAAATGTTTTATAACCTAATTCTCTGTGTGGCTAAGGACAGCACTATTTATCTCTAGTGGTAATTTATTGTAACAATCATAAATAGGTCTTATTATTTCTGCTTTGATAGCAGCATTCTTTTTTGCTGCAACCTTTTGAGGTATAGTGATGACCTGCATTCTTTGTTTTGTTCAGGTAGAGCCTTTTTTTGTAACTCTGTCCCTGTTTGACATAAAATACAACCGAAAGATTTCTGCTGATTTCCATGTGGACCTGAATCATTGCTCAGTACGACAGATGCTGGCTCCCACATCCCCAACTCTGATGAATGGCAAGCAGAGCCCACCTGCCCGTCAGGATGTCCTTCATGCAGCCATCATGCAGTATCCAAAGCAGGTGGGGAGCAGGCCCAGCATGCATACTGCCCAGACTTACCTCACATGCACTGTATAAATACATTGAAAATGCCAAAATGAAACCTTGTGATGCACAACTGGGGTAATTTAGACTGTTGATTATATGGACAGTATATGTAATTAGACAGTAAGAGCAAACTGAGGGAAACTTGGTTTTGATTTCTCAGTCCTTTTTGTAAGCTTTCTCTAATTGCCTCCTCCACCAAAGATCCTTTCTGAGCAGAGTTGACTAGCTCATCTGTTTGGCACTGAGGCTGCCTGCGAGTTGTACTGCTTCACTGTGTTTGCCACATTTATGGTCATGGGAATTGTTCAGTGCAGCTGTGAATTTTATTAACTGAAGAAAACTGTTCATCTTCTAGGGAATATTTTCAGTCACATGTCCCCATCCAGATATATTTCTTGTGGCCAGAATTGAAAAAGTCCTCCAGGGCAGCATAACGCATTGCGCTGAGCCGTATATGAAAAGTTCAGACTCTTCTAAGGTATGAATGGCTTTTATGCTTTGTCATGATTAAAAAAAAAAACCTGAAAAAAAGCCTTTATGTCAAACTAAAAATGCTTAATGAAATGAAAGGTAAACCATATTTAGAGTCAGAAACATGTATAGTCTAAACCACCTTTATAGGCTAAATCATGCATACATGTATCTACTCTCTCATTTAACTTATGAGTCTAGTTTTGTGCTGAGTGTGTGTACGTGCACACACGTGCATGAAGGGTATTGAACCAAGAGTGTCATACATGCTAAGCATGCACTCTGCCACTTTCCTGCACCCCAAGCCCCTTTGTGTCTCATTTTTAATGAAAGCGCACATTTAAATAAGCTACTTCATTTCCCTAGTCTAGTCTGACATCCTAAGATAGTTTGCAAGGAGTTACCAACTTGCTAATAAACTTTCTATCATTTAAAAAGTTCATATATTATAGTAAACATCGTTCATTCCACTACTTGGTGTGTCTCTTGGGTTCTGGAATTATATTTTGGTTCATTTACACTTACATATGAAGCTAGCATTTGGATATGCTTTTGGCTCAGATGGTCTTCCCCAGTCACAGTAGTTCAGGTCCACTTGGTTTTTATTAGAGTGCACAGGGTCACAGTGGCAGAGGCAATGTGACCTTAGGGAAACATACAAGATGTATGCTTGCTGTATTTTCAAAGTAGTGTACATCACTTGGGAAGTGCCTAGGTGTGGACATAGCATAGAATTATTAAATATTTGAAATCATTTAGTCTAAGACCTCTTTTGATTATTCAGAAATCTGACGCCTAAAAAGCTTTAGTTGCCTGCTACATGTCTCACAGCTAGAGTGGCCAAAGGGTATTTGCTATCACTTTGCAGTGTATCATGCCACCTGGCTACACTAAGCTATTCATTGGGTGCCTGTTCCTGCCATTTGCAATATTTTAAAGTTATCTTATCTATTTATTTATTTATTTTTGTTGGTAATAGGATTTGATCTCAGGGCCTTGCACCTGGTAGGCAGGCACTCTACCACTTAAGCCAAGCCTACAACCCTTTTTCTCTCTGGTTATTTTGGAGCTAGAGTCTCACTTTTTGTCCAGGCTGGCCTAGAACCATGCTTCTCCTGATCTCAGCCTCCCACATAGCTGGTATGACAGGCATGAAACACCATACCTAGCCATTAGTTGAGATGGGGTCCTTTGAACTTTTTGCCCAGGTTGTCCTCAACCTGCTGTCCTCCCAGTCTCAGCCTCTCAAGTAGCTAGGATTACAGGTGTGAGCCACTGGCGCCTGACATTTCTTTTTCTTCTTTTTTTTTTTAAAGAACTGTTTTAAACGGTCATATGAGAAATGACCAGATGTATTGACAAGGACTGGTCAGCAGTAGGAGTAGACAGAAGCTCTGAGATTGACTAAGTTGATTCAGAGCTTGTTCTCTTCATCCCTGTTGCCACCCATACATCACAAGTGTGTCCACCAAGATGCAAGATGGTTATTGAAGAACAGGTTCTAAAAGTCACAAATCATATCATTTCTTTAGGTTCCAAATGTCCTATCTGTGGGTGCAGGATGTTGTTACTATATGCTCCTACCTTCCTCACAGGGACAGTGTAAGGATCAAACCAATAATGTAGAAGACAGTGCTCGAGGAACCATGAATAAGACATGCATGTAGACATTATTTATTACAGCTACAGTCAAGTAAAAGCCCATTTTCTGGATGCATTGCTTCAAACACTTATCCTTTTTGACTGATAAAAGCTGAGAAGCTGTTTTATTTCTTTAAACCAAGTCTGTAAAACCTTGGATATGAAGCTCTTTTATGTTTTTTATTAATCATCAGTGAAGACCTCAGATAAGATCTACTCCCCAGTGTGTTTGTAGCATACTTCCAAGACTTATACACATCAACATGGGTTTTTTTGCCTGCCATGTACCAGGCAGCTCAAGGTTATGTTACTCAAGTAATGAAAGACTCTACAACTCACCACTCTGAATCATTCAGACTTTGCATGATAACAATGCACTGTCCTAATATAAACAAATGAGGAAATTGAGTGTTAGGTGCTTTAGTAATGGAGGTCTAGTTGATTAGTAATTGACCTGACATACATGTGTCTTTAGCCAAAGACAAGTGTGGTTTATTGTGCACTGTGAGATTAATCAGTCAACCCATAACAAACCACTTCATTAGGAAGTGAAAGTAGCAATAATTTATACTTAGATAGCAAAAATAGCAATTGAAAACCCTAGCCTAACTTAAGTCAGTGACTGTTAATGTCTTCATACTAAATATTCCCCCCCAAATCGTGGGAACCCACACAAACTAGTGCACATTAGGAGTTATAAAAGCTTAGTGTGTTCATTGGTGTTCTCATTTAAATTCTGGTAACATGATATATTTCAGCATGAATACCAAATATTAGTATCTACTCATAATTCAGTGGGCTCATAATTAATGTAGCCCTTAGTTAAAAAAGAAACATGAAAGTCTATGAAATATCATGTTTGTTACCTGCAGAAACAAAAGGAAATATATGCATTTTGCAAATAGTGCTCATTCTGTATTTTTAGAGTATCACTGATAGAGGATATATTTTAATAAATAAAGAAGTCTGCCCCAAGTGTGAAGCTAGCAGTGTTTACTACACTAATTTGTACTTTTCCATGAATCTGATTCTGTGGTGAGAGCTCGTTTAATGAATGTGTGATGGTGGCTCTTCAACTCATAACTCTCCTGTCAGTAGGATGCAGTATCTCATAGCTTTGTTCTCTGTCTTCAGGTTGCTCAGAAGGTACTGAAAAATGCTAAGCAGGCATGCCAAAGGCTAGGACAGTACAGAATGCCATTTGCTTGGGCAGCAAGGTAAGGGGACACCTTTTGTAACTATTAGAGATGAATAGATGAATAGGCAGATAGACCTATTCTTTTTGTTATCCAGAGTCAAAGAAGATTTGAATGTGTAAAATTGAGAGTAAGATTTGAATGTGTAAAATTGAGAGCCATGCTGGAGGCATGGCTCAAAAGTGGGTAGCAACAGGAGGTCTGCAGTGGCCTCTGTCTATGGTCTTTACTTCTTCCTCATTTGAATGTTTATGCTGTTTCCTAAGGCAAGCCTGTTGGCTGGAACTGGTTTTCTGTGCAAATTGAGTTAGTTGTATTCATCCTCAGTAATTTTTTCTGCATTTTTAGATAATGAAATTTCTGTTAGCTACAGCCAATGGAATAATAATTAGTCTATGCATAGAAACCAGAGTTAAATGATGGATTTATTTTGGTCTTTTGGAAACCCAGTTTAGAAATGTTGTTTTGCTATTTCAGGACGCTATTTAAGGATACAGCTGGAAACCTTGACAAAAATGCCAGATTTTCTGCCGTCTACAGGCAAGACAGCAATAAGCTCTCAAATGATGACATGCTCAAGTTACTTGCAGACTTTCGGAAGTGAGTTTTAAGATGTTACTTGTTTCCACACCTGAAAAATAGAAGTTATGTGGTGGGCAGGGAGAGGGCAGGGAGTGGTCATATAAATTATTTAACTTAGATACTATAGGAGTATTGGGAGTGGATGTGGCATGTTTTCTCAAGTCCTAAGAAGGAAAGAGAAGCTTCAGCAGCAGCAATGTCACCTTGTCAATTTGACTTTGGTACAGGATGTTTTGGGTAGAGCTTTTGGGTGAATTGAGGATAGAGATATGCCCAAGGAGAAAGGAGACAGTTGAGGGACCCTATCAAGACTTTTGAAAGGGTGCATTAAAGCCCCTGCAGGAGGAAATACAAAGAAGGGGCTAGTTCAAGCCATGTCAGAAAGGCACAGTTGCTGGGTCTTGGTTTCCTGATTGGGTCTTAGAGTGAAAGCAGGGAGAGGTGGATAGTCATCTAAGGTAAACAGTTCCTAGGTTCCTGAATTGTAGGATGGATTGACTCATGGTACTATTAAGCAAATCAGGGGGAGGGTTGGGGAAACATAATAATTACTATATTAGTACTTTAAAAAAATTTTATGGATTTTTTAATTAGCACAAATTAATTGTACAAAAGAGTCTCATTGTCATATTTCCATACACGTATATAATGTACTTTGATCAAATTCACCCTCCTCTATATTATTCTTACTTAATCCGCCCATCATCCTCCCCCTCCTTTCAAAACATTTTAGTGGGTTTCATTATGTTGTTTTTATGTATAAAAGTACTTACTTTTTGCAAGCATGGCTCTAAAGGCTTTTCCCATATTTCCTAGAACTTCTGTTACTACAAACTAGGTGGCTTAAAATAACAGAAATTTATTTACAGTGCTGAGGGCTAGAAGCCTGAAATTCAGGTGTTGGCAGGGCCATACCCCTTGAAGTCTAGAGGAGGATCCCTTCTTGCCCCTTCCAGTGGCAAGCATCACTCCAGTCTCTGCCTTTGTCTTCACATAATCATCTTTCCATCTGTCTCTATGTACATTTCCTTCAATAAGAACTCCAGTCATACTGGATCAGGGTGAGTCAGCTATTTATATCTGAACAGGTCTAGTTGCAAATGAGGTCACGTTCACCAGGAACTTGGCCATGTCTTTTTGGTGGACACATTTCAGTCTGTAACAGTGAGTCAAAGAGAGAGATTAAGCAGTGTTCCAGTGTCACACAGATGGTAGTAGGTAGAACTTAAGTGTGACCTGAGGTAGTAGGTAGAACTTAAGTGTGACCTTAAGTGTGATATAGGTCCATCCTAATGAGTCCATTTCTGAACCAATGAAACTGATTTCGTTTGCTGGGGAGATGAGTTTTCAAGTTTTTCTCTAAATGAGAAAGAGCGAGGTCGCTCAGAAAAACACTAAAATGAAAGAAATGGTCAAGAGCTAGGTACTATTTTTTAATGCATATAGTTACCTTTCAGTCTTCTTTTTTTATTTAAAAAAAACTTATCAAAATAACAATATTACTAGTTTGCCTTAAAAATCAAAAGTGGCTATGTAGCTTTCTTTTGCTTCATTTTTACCTTTTTCTTCTCTATCTTCATGGGTAGAAGGGACAAGAGTCAAAGAATCAGGCTCAAAAAGTTCCAAAAACTGTGTTCTTAATAAGAGTCTAAATATCTTCATGTCAACAGTCCACTTCAACCTTTAGTAATGTGAAATATCATGTCAAGAGGTTTTAAAAGGTAGAAAGGGAAAAAAGTCTTAGATGGATCAGTGTTACTCTTTGAAACTGAGGATTCTCAAGGTCCCCTTGATTATGTGATTATACAGTTTTTAACTGCCTCAACATTTGAGACTTTAATGAGAACCTCGATTTGCTGTCACTAAGCTGATTTTTTCTCCCCTGTGCCAATACAATTTGCCAGTTCAGCAAAGCAGAGTACATAGCCACTGGTTTAATTCTCAGTGAACCTTTGTCCCAATCACTTGGGTCATTGAATTAGGGCAGATGAGGATGCTATTGGGTTAGCTTCTTTGGGTTCCTGGACTACAAAGGTACCCTGGTTGCAAATGCCGTCTGACAGTAGTGCTTACGGGGCTTGCTCAGAAAATTCATCTTGATCCCTGTGTGTTTGCTACCATTCTTGGAAGACTAAATAAAAACTGTTTTTATAGTTAAAGAATTGTATATAAGTACAATACATGTTCACATGTATTGCCAATTAATCATAATGGAGCAATCCAGGAGCAGAAATACATAGGGAAAGACCCCAATCTGGGAGCACAGGATGACTGCTGGTTTATGAAGTTGTTGAGTCAGAAGGAGTATGTAAGAACTCTTTTCCTAAGAAAAAAGTACACATTTACTTGATGCAATTTGAAGATGGATGTTCATGTTTTAAGTATTATTTTATAAATTTTGTATAAAATGTAGAAATTTTTTTAGTATTCCAAACAAGATAACCAAATATGATCTCAATAATGAGAGAATTCACCTCTGTAACAAACACCCCACCCTTTTGGGAAAGCATATTTAAAAGGCAGAACTTTGTTGTGTATGAGGTTTTGATTTTTAATAAACCAGGTTCAACAAAAATCATAAGTCTTTGAAATAAATTTAGTATTATATTTTTAAAAACTTAAAGCTAGTAAAAGAGCTTTGACAGGGCTAATGTGGTGTAGAATAAGCTCAGACCTGTGCTTGGAAATGTGTGGAAATAATGCTTCTTTCGAACCAACAATGCTAGTAAAAGCTCTGAGTAGAGAGGAAGCAGAATAAGAAATGAGTAGGAACAGAAGTACATAACACATTATAGAAAGATTTCTAGTTAAGATTGTTTAATTAAAATTTGTTTACTTAGAAGTCCACCTCTCTTAGAAATTTATATGTGAATGATGTTAAAATGATTTTTTTTTTTTAAAAATGTTGAACATATTGTATTCCTAGATGGAAATACCTAGGAGGAGGTGAGAGACATCACTCCTGGTTATTTACATTTAAAAGTATTATTTATAATAAACAGTATTTGTAGCTCCTAGAAGCAGATACAGTTTAATAGGTTTTTCTGAGATTTTGTGGAACATAGTTGTGGTTAAATTGTTCAAATGAAGAGGTGGAGCAAGGCACTATATGTCAGGACAACTTACAGTGCATAAAATCCATGCATCTGAGGGTCGATTCCCCTAAAGAGCCTTATATGGAGAGTATCTTTGTGGGAGTTCACAGTGCTTGGGAAGCAATGGAAATCTCTCAGGAAGTGACTGTGGAGGAAACACTACTGATCCTTTTCCTACTAAAAAGAAGGGTCTTGTGCATGTGAAACATCTCATGCAGTGGGCACAGTCAGGAAATAACAGGGTAATGCTGTGCTGTATCTGGAGACTTCTTGGCCATAAATCTTTATAACTGAAGGTAGAAAGTGTGAAAAATCATCGACTTGCCTTCCTGACCATTATGTCTCTCCTTTAAACTCACATTCATTTAAATTCAAGTGGAAACAAAAGACAAGTGGAAATGAGAGACCCTGAGAGAAAGAGATTCTGCAACTTAATGATGGGGATGGGCCAAGCCAAGATGAGTCAACTCAACCTAGTCTTTGGTCATAAGGAAATAAGAAGTTACCATTTTTAAGGAAGCCCTAATTCACATGAATAAGACTTAAGATATACTGAGAAGTTACCTGTGAGACTGCTTAGTAGACAATAGTAATGTAAGAGGAATCTCACAAACAGGATATAGGAACTTTTTAAAAATGGGTTCAAAAGCAAATGCTGTGTCTTTTGGCCATTGAGCTTTATGGTCCTTGGCAGTGCTATAAAAGAAATGATTGAACAGGTGGCTTCTGAAGAGCCTTGTGGTGGCATTCTGTTTTTTAGGAATAGATCTGTGGTATTGAACTGGTCTACCCTAGCTACATTTCCTCTCTCTTTTAAGTTGGTTTGCAAGGCTGCAGAGCCCTTGGCAGAATGTGTTTACCATGGGTGCATGCTATGACAGCCCGTGAACAAATCAGAAAAGTGATGCACATGCGAGTGTGTACTTGTTCAGTTGTTGGAGTAACCAGATTTCAGGAAGGGCAATTAATGGGCTAATGTCCAGCTGGAAATGGTCCTCTGGGGATTTGAGAAGGAGCCTGTTCTTGGCAATATTCCGTGCAATATAATATCTTCATTGATGATGTTTACGAAAATATACCATGCTGATTAAGTGTCTTCAGAACATAAAGCTCTTAGGAATATCTAATAATACTAGATGTTAGAGCCTGGATTTAGAAGGACTTTAGTTAACTCAAAATGGCTCAAATGTAAACAAATGAAATTTCTTCAAGACAAAAATAAATTCCCATTGTGAGATCCAAGAACATAATCCTATAAATACAGAGCAGAGAAATGTAACATGATGGTAAAGCAGGTGAAAATAGATTTAGGGATTTTAGGTGATTACAAATTTAATGTGGGTCCCTAGGGTGGCATAGCTACCAAAAATAATGGCATTTGGGCTGCATTAGTAGATGAGTTGTTGCCCAAACCAGACAGGAACTCCACGCCAGATGTTCAGACCCTATTGTGTCTGATCTGTTTGCCACATTCGAGGGCAGTGGCATTGGTGGAATGTGCAGGAGTGCTGAGAATGGAAAATTGGTAGCTGCAGGTGATTGAAAGGGGCTCATAACCAAGCCCCTCGATGAGCAGAAGCTTCAGAAAAGCAAATTTCACCATGCTGTGAGGAAGAGCAGCTTGTGCCAAAATGGCCGTGTTGCAAGTTTCCTTGGCACAGTAGCAGCACTTGTCGGGAGCATCTAACAAGATTCCTGTATGGATTGAGTCAGACCAACTACAGATGATAGTTTCATCGAGTACCTGCCCTGTTTCACCATCTTGCTAGCTATTAGAGCTTAAGATGATTTCTGGTTCTGAATGTTGATTCTAAATAAGTCATGTATTTATGGTGAGTCTGGAGTGATATAGGAATACTTTGACTATCACTATTTTGCTGATATTCTTCATCTAGACCTATGCACAGTACAGCTAATAGCCATGTATGGCTGTTAAATGCTTGAAATATAGAAAGTCTGAATTGATAATATGCTTGCAAAATCCACATCTGGTTTTGAAAACTTAGTTTGTGTATTGTTGTACTAATTATATACAAAAATAGTATTGTGGATCTGTTGGATTAAATGTAGTATTAAAATTATTACATGTTTCTTTTTATAGTTTTTTTCATGTGGCTACTAGAAGGTTAAAATTGTGTTTGCCGCTTGCATTATTGGCATTCTCTTCTCTTGGAAGTGCCACTCTAGAATTTAGGTTTTACAACTGACCTAACTGGTTGATTTTTCTCTTCTTTTGTTTGTAGACCTGAGAAGATGGCTAAGCTTCCAGTGATTTTAGGCAATCTAGACATTACAATTGATAATGTTTCTTCAGACTACCCTAGTAAGTATAAGTTTGGTGTAATAGAGACAAAACTTTGGTTTAGTTGGTTTTTCCCTGAGTTTGGATTGCTTTGAATATCTTTTCAGATTATGTTAATTCATCATATATTCCCATGAAGCAATTTGAAACCTGTCCTAAAACTCCAGTTACATTTGAAATAGAGGAATTTGTGCCCTGCATACCGAAACACACGCAGCCTTACACTGTCTACAACAATCATCTTTACGTGTATCCTAAGTACTTGAAATATGACAGTCAGAAGTCTTTTGCCAAGGTGAGTGCGAGACCGAGGTTTCAGCCTTAATATTGTACTGTCCTCTGGGAGAGTTGTTTTTCTTATTCCTTTTTCTTTTAAATATTCCTGCAGGCCAGAAATATTGCTATTTGCATTGAATTCAAAGATTCAGATGAGGAAGATTCTCAGCCCCTGAAGGTTTGTTTTCTTATGATATTCACCTGCATGTTCTGATTTTTCCATTTTAAAAGTGTACCTATGCGATACTAGACAACTAAAGAAATGTGGCACAGTTTAATTGCCACAGACCAAAAATATACAATGTTATACTATGTACCACATATGCTGAATTTTAAGTTGTTGCCCATAATTGACTGTTTTGTTATTCTCCTTAGGGATGAAATTTCTTATACATATTCAATTCAGTAAACACTTACTGTGCACCTATGAGGCAACCATTGTGTGGGAGCTAAGAAATATGATTTGAGTAATATTCATGATGGAAATGATGACAGATCAACAACAGATGACCTATATTAAGTGGGTCTTGTGGTGTGGCAGTAATGACAGCAGTGCATCCTAGGCAACATGTACTGAATGCTGCTCATACTCCAGGGAGAGCTCATAGGTGTGCTTAGCTCTTGATTCTTGGAACAGTCATTTGAGTGAAGTACTGATCAGATCCATATTTTTTAGATGAATAGACTAAAACTAATAAATTTTTCAAGGTCATACATTAGTAGAACTGAGATTTAAATCCAGGTAGTTTAGCTCTAGAGCTCAAATTGTTTACTATGTTGAAAATGCAAAAGGGAAGGAGAGAAAGATGAAAAGAGAATTATAATATTCACCCTCAAGGAATTTACAGTTTAGTGAGAAACAGAATCATAGAGAAAAGTCTCCTGGCACACAGAGGTACTCAAATTGTTTTCTGGACAAAATTGAATGGGTATCATAGAAAAATGCTGAGAGGACATATGGAGGAAGAAGTCAACAATTTCTTAAAGGATGCATGAGAGTTTGCTTGGTGTGCCTAGAAACCACAGTTATTCGGATAGGTGAATTATGTAAGCATACGTAGGAAAGTGACAAGTAAGATGTCATACAGGCATGGAGGAGTGGTCAGGGCAGTGGGCAAACAGGCTGGTGATGCACCAGCAGGTGGCCTGGACCCTGAAGTAAGGCCTAGAGTTTCAGAGTCAGAAGTCTGCTGTAGGAGCACCACTTCCCTTACAACATCTCAGTTTAATTTCTTACTCCACTAATTAAACCATGGTGTTTGCCCCTGCTAATTGTTATTTTAGTGCATTTATGGCAGACCTGGCGGCCCAGTGTTCACCAGAAGCGCCTTTGCTTCAGTTTTACACCATCACCAAAACCCAGAATTTTATGATGAGGTAAGTGATAACTTTTCGAGGGAAAAATCCAGTTTGATACTTTTCAGGGAAACTTCAAGTTATTTACTTAGTATAGTAAAATTAAAAAGAAACTGCCTACCATACTGAAATTATAGCAATAGAACTAAATGTTGAAAATTTTATTTTATATATCTTTCCTAATTATTTAAGTAATATCTTTATTATTAAAAATAATAACTTAGAAAATGTAAGTAATATAGAAAAGAAAAAGTCATACTTTCACAATTAATATTATGACATGTTTCCTTTCCAATTCATACTTGAGTATAGTTGTATTTGTTGGACCTGAGAGTCTGTCTTCCTGTTTATCATTGGATTTTCTTATATAAAATTATAATGTACAGTTGACTCTTAAACAACTGATGTGCTCCCCAGCAGTTAGAAATCCATGTATAACTTTTGACTCCCCCAAAACTTTACTAATAGCCTGCTTTTGACTTCCTTACCAATAACACAATAGTCAGCACCTATTTTATATGTATTATATGTGGGGGAAAAACATGTGAGAACCATGAGATACCACTTTTTATTGCCATTTATAATTTACTGGAGAGAGTCCACTCAGAGTTGATACCATCTCCCAGAGTTTTAGACAGATACACACTTGAGCTCACTGCAATAGTGAATTGGCTATGGAATTACTATAGTATGCTCTACAGTTAATTTTAGGTAGTTATGATTTAATATGATATCTTTATATTTGCTTACATTTCTCATTTACAAATGGGGCCAGGTTTGCTTTGTAAGTGCATACAGAAGTTTTGATAATTTTTAACTTTTTACAGTAGATTTTGTATATATTTTGTGGTACTGAATGATAAGATAGACAGTTATCTTCATATATGCATTAATGACATACCTACCTTTTTATTAATTTCTTTCAATATGTCTTGGCTATGTGGTTTGTGATTTTTTTTCACATAGGGCCTGAGTGTGGCTCAGTGGTAGACTGTGTGCTTAGCTTGTGTAAGTCACTGTATTAATCCCCAGCATCAAAACACACGACCAAAATTCTACATGTAAGCGGACCCATGTAGTTCAAACTTATGTGTTCAAGGGTCCACTGAGGTTTAATAAACTGCTGTACGAATCCTGCTTTAAATATTCTACCCAAGGTTTTCAGATGCTGTGGCTGTGTTAATTTGTATAGTGGTTACTGCTTTCCAGTTATGTTAGATTTGGAATCTAAAATCTATTTAGATTCAGAATACCCATCAACCTTTCTTTTGTTTCTAGCACGAATCCTGCTTTGAAATATTCTACCCAGGGTTTTCAGATGCTGTGGCTGTGTTAATTTGTATAGTGGTTACTGCTTTCCAGTTATTTTAGATTTGGAATCTAAAATCTATTTAGATTCAGAATACCCATCAACCTTTCTTTTGTTTCTAGCACGAATCCTGCTTTGAAATATTCTACCCAGGGTTTTCAGATGCTGTGGCTGTGTTAATTTGTATAGTGGTTACTGCTTTCCAGTTATTTTAGATTTGGAATCTAAAATCTATTTAGATTCAGAATACCCATCAACCTTTCTTTTGTTTCCAGCCAATGAATTCAGGATCCATTTCTCCCTCAACACAGTTTATAGCTCAGGTGTCTTTAAATCCAAATACTAGTAACAATTTGGAGAACAAATGCACATTTGTACATATCTGCTTCGATGAAGAATTTTTGATGTTTTAGAATGTTAGAAAGATGCTTTTATCCACCTTACAGATTAAAATGGAATTGCCCACCCAGCTACATGAAAAGCACCACTTGTTGTTCACATTCTTCCACGTCAGCTGTGATAACTCAAGCAAGGGGAGCACGAAGAAGAAGGATGTTATTGAAACACAAGGTGGGGAATTTCATCATTCCTTTGATTTTTGTTAATTTGCACATTATACTTATAAAATGTAGTTTGATTCTGAATTTGCATCCTTTTGCAAAAGGGTTTTTAGATGAAATTTGTAGGTAGCATGAAAATAGCATGTCTGGGTTGTATATGTAAGTTTTTAGAATTCTGACCCCCAAAAGACCAAAGTGCATTGTAAAAAATGTTCTGCAGAGACCATATTTAAGCCTTTTAAATTTCTCACTCTGATTGATAATAACAGTTCTTAAAAATCAGGTGGTTTTACAATGGCTTTCTTTTAGAAGTTTTCATATATTTATGGTGGATTTTTTTATTCTTTGATTTCAACAGTTGGATACTCCTGGCTTCCTCTCTTGAAAGACGGAAGGGTGGTGACGAACGAGCAGCACATCCCTGTGTCAGCTAATCTTCCATCTGGCTACCTTGGCTACCAAGAGCTTGGCATGGGCAGGGTATAGGATTTTAAGATTGGTTTATCTTGATTCCTATAGAAAACATTCATGAACAACTAAAAAACAATTTAAAAAAAAAACCTAACATTTTTTGCCATTTACGACATTTTGGTTTTTTGTTATTCATTTTCAAGTAAACATAGGCAATTAGAAACCATTGCTGTTTATGCTTACCACAGTGTCAGTACTTTTTTTTTTTTTTTTGGCGGCACTGAGGTTTGAACTCAGGACCTCACGCTTGCCAGTCAAACACTCTTACCACTTGAGCCACTCCACCAGCCCCATTACCACAGTGTCAGAATTGTAGTTCGGACATTTTATAAGCCCTGGACTAGCAGAGCCTCTTCAGGGCGTAGAGACTTGGAGATAAGTGGATGCGGTAGGAGTCTGTCTCTGCAAAGCTAGTCATGCTCACATAGAGAAGAGTTCTTAGGGTCATGTAAAGTGTTAGGCTTAATATAAAATCTAGTGAGCAAATCTCTCACCACATTAGGAAACCTCTGACTCTTGAAAGCCTAATTTTTCTCAGATTTCTCAAAATGGTTTGTTGGCTTTGCACTGTTTTTAACCATCTTAAATTTTACAGACTTCAGTTTTATGACATGTTTAGAAAGTCTGCTCTTTTAATTTTTCTCAGTGCTTAAATAATGCCAATTTTGGGTCCATGTTATGGACAAATAATTAAAAGTACTGCAAAAGAAGAGCAAAAAAAATGAAAAAGAAGGGCAAATCATACAATTTTCAGTTATAATTTCTAGTCTGAACCTGATCAAAAATTAGAGGCTTCAGAAGTTAAAATAAACACAGAAGATTGACCCTTGGCCTATCCCAGGAGTACATATGCCCTGTTTGCTTTATCTGGTACATTCTACCATCTCTTTCAGAATTCTTAACTTGAGTCTGGTTAAGATACTGGTAAAATGGGATTCATTCTCTATCAAATGGACAGTTGCTCACACAGCTGCAACTAAACAGAAAAGATGACTTAGAAAACCCAGTAAGAAGAGCATTGTACTTGGGGAAGAAAATGGGCAGAAATGAGTATCAGCTGCACTCCTGCTGTGGCCAGGCACAGCTATCAAGTCATTCAAGCCCTTTGAGCCTTCAGTTCCTCCCTCGTCAATACCCCCATTATGCTTATTATTAAAAGACTTGATAGCTAAGGTAGCTAATCTTTTGGAGTTTATTTTTCCTTCCATATTTTTTTCAGCACTATGGTCCAGAAATTAAATGGGTAGATGGAGGCAAGCCACTGTTGAAAGTTTCAACTCATCTAGTTTCTACAGTGTATACTCAGGTACGAGCTAGTACATTAAAATCAACGGTGATTATTCTGTGACTAAGTTTGCAATTCTTTTGGAAATGGAATACTAATATGTAATATGGATATTTTACTCTATAGGTCTTTATTTAAAGAAAATGCATAGCAGGTATACTGATATAAATGACTAGTACAAGTAACATTTTCCAACAATTTTCCTGTGTTGTTGGAGGATCTTTGTTATCATTAATATTTTATTTGTGTGTATTAATTATACACAAATTGTTGGAAGGTTTTTTTGATGTCATTTTATGTGATCAATTTCATAATCTTAAAAAACATGCATGCTTGCTACAAGAAGCAAATGCTCCTATTTCTATAGTGTATATGCTAATAGACTTTCTCTTTCTCTCCTACTGCTAGGATCAGCATTTACATAATTTTTTCCAGTACTGCCAGAAAACTGAATCTGGAGCCCAAGCCTTAGGGAATGAACTTGTAAAATACCTTAAGGTATAGATGACTTTCTTAGTAGCTCTTTCTTAATGAGTTTGGTGTAGGTTGGGTTTTCCATTTGGTGGTGAGCATTGTTTCTGCCTCTTGGGAACTTCTCTAAGGCTTTTCTTATCTGAATGCTGTCACGTCACTGGTTTTGTGTGGTTTTCAATAGTGATGAGAAATGGACTTAGAAATAGCACCGCCCTTGTGCTAGTCCCACAGATCTTCACAAAGCGGGACCTCAAAAACACATTTATTCTCAGGCATGTAAAGCCACTCGCATGATACAGCCCTCTGTTGATGTTACTGGATGCTGAGCACAGTGATGGGCACAGAAGAAGCAGTCCTTGTCTTAGTCTGTTTTGTGCTCCTGCACCACAATTCCTGATGCTGGGTTATTTATAAAGAACAGAAATTTACTTCCTCACAGTTCTGGGTACTTGGAAGTCTAAGACTAAGGTGCCAGCATCTAGTGAGGGCCTTCTTGCTGTGTCATCCCATAGCAGAAAGCAGAGGACAAGAGAAGGGTTGAGACCAGGGAGAGAGACACTCTTCCTTTTAGAAGGAACCCACTTCCACCATAAAGAACCATTCTAGCAGTAACAACTTTAATCCATTCATAAAGGCAAGAGCCCTAATGGACTAATCACCCACCTCCTGACAGCGTTACATTACGGATTAAATTTCCAACACATGTTTTTTTCAGGAATACACTCTCAAATTATAGCAGTTCTTACCCTTAAGGAACTTCTAGTTCATTGTAGGAGATAATGTATACTTTGTTACTGCAAGCAAGGTAGATGAATCAAAGATAATAGGCCTACCTGGTCCCAGCTTTGTGCAGGAGTGATGCAGTTTCCTGAAGTCAGTGAATAGTAAGAGCAGGGTAGGTTTTGTGTAGGGACTTTCATCCAGAATGTGATTGTAGGCAAACATCTCAAAAAAGGGAACTAGCTAAAGGACCTTCTAGGCATGGTACAAAACAAGAAATGTGACAAACAGGGTAGCGTTTTCTTTGACAAGGAAAAACATTGATATATTAAAGAGATACACCATAAAGTTTTTTAAACGTAATGACTCATGGCTCCTCCTCCATCTCAGTGATAATGGCATAGCATCTCTGACCACTTTTCCTTGGTCATAGCTCCCTAACTCTTCTGCATCCCTCCTCCAATTTTAAGGACCTTTGTGATTGCATTGGTCTTCATGGATAATCCCTAACTTAAAGCCAACCAATTAGTAGTTGGTTGAATTAGTGAGTATGTGCCATGTAACATACTCACTGTTTTTTTTTAATTTTTTTATTCATTTATTCACATGTGCATACATTGTTTGGGCCATTCCTCCCCCCTGCCCCCCACCTTCTCCTCTCCCCATATTCACTGTTTCTGAGGATTGAAACAGACCTTTTTGGGGGCCATTCTGTCCATTTCCATTTGTTTTAGGAGTTCTTCCATCCTAAATTGAAATTAAGTGGAAGTTGCCTTTAGTTGGTTGACATTTAAAAAGATAATGTAGCTGAGCATGGTGGCATGTGCCTATGGTCCCAGCTACTTGGAAGCTTGAGATAGGAGGATCACTTGAACCCAGTAGTTCCAGGCCAACTTGAGCAATATAGCAAGACTCCATCTCAAAATAAATAAAATACAAAGATAACGTGTGCTTCATCATTCTCTGTGTAGAGTCTGCATGCAATGGAAGGTCACGTGATGATTGCCTTCCTGCCCACCATCCTAAACCAGCTGTTCCGAGTCCTCACCAGAGCCACCCAGGAGGAAGTTGCGGTTAATGTGACTCGGTAAGGGAGTGGACGGATAGATACTCTACTTCCCTTCCACTCTGGCCACACCTGGAGCACAGCCATGCACGTCTGGGATGCTAGCATGCGCTGAACAGTATATTGAAGAAATGTCTTTGACCCCATCATAGGAACCCCGTCGTAATTCCTTGTCTCCTTGTTTCCTAAGTGCCAGTAGCATCCTCATTGTTCTACTAGTGCAGTGATAATAATGAAATGTTTCCATTTTCACATTACTATTCATTGCTTTATTCATTCCTATGGTGTGTAGGGTCATTATTCATGTGGTTGCCCAGTGCCATGAGGAAGGATTGGAGAGCCACTTGAGGTCATATGTTAAGGTATGTAAAAAAAAAAAAAATGTTCCAATCACTTACATCTGTGGCTCTCCAATTTTCCTTCTAAGGACTTATTTTTTACAAGCCTGAACAAGGAAGTACAAAAAGAGACAGCCACTCCTTTATTTACTTAATTTCATCCTTTGAACTACTGTGGCTCAAATGATAGGGAAGTTTAAAGAATTTTAAATTTGCTGTTGCCCAGGTCCCTGGTAGAATTAGTAATCTTTATTTTTCTTTTTTCCATCTAAGATTCACAGAAAAAAATGGCTTCCCCCAAGACAGGAAGGTTAGCTCTGGCCCAATCAAATAAGATACTATGTAGAACAGCAAGAGATGCCATTAGGACAAATCTCAACAGGTTCTCCATGTACAGTGTTAAATACACAGTGACAGTTGTTGTTGTAAAAAATTACTTATGTTCTAAGACCCCTTGTGAATTATAGCTATGTGATGATTTAAAAAAGAAACTAGATTCTTCAGGGTATCAATTGCCAGTGTCGTGTGACACATTCCTTAAAGAGTCCATGTTGTAGATGGAGTTGTGGGCTAGATAACCACTGATGATTTGCTATTTTGATGGGTTCCCTGAAGACATCCTGGGCTCCCTCTTTTTGTCACGTTAACAATCACACTTCCCACATTTGTTTCCATCCCTTCCTCTCCCACCCATGAAATCGTACCTTGGACCCTGATCTCTGTATTCTTTGGAGACTCTCAAGCTTTCAACCCAACCTGGAGAACCAATGCAGTTACGTCTCTTTCTCTTTTCTTCAAAGTATGCTTATAAGGCTGAACCATACATTGCTTCTGAGTACAAGACAGTACATGAAGAACTGACCAAATCCATGACCACCATTCTCAAGCCTTCTGCTGATTTCCTTACCAGCAACAAACTACTCAAGGTATGTCAGTATGGCCAGTGTTAAAACTGATTAACAAGGGGAGGGGGTTGTAGCTCAGTGACAGAATGTTTGCCTAGCATGTGTGAGTTCCTGAGTTCTACCCCCAAGAATCATCACCACCACCACCACCAATGACAAAATATTAATGAGCTGGGAGGGATGGGGAAGGATTGATCACTGGGTACTAAGTTGCAGTTAGATAGGAGCAAGAAGTTCTTGTGTGTTGTTGCACAGTAAGGCAGCTATAGAAAACAGTAATGTACAATATCTTTCTTTCTAGAAGAACTTTGAAAGTTTCACCATAAAGAGATGAAAAATGTTTGGTATAGATATGTTTAACCTGATTTAAACATTACACAATGTGTACGTGTATCAAAACATTACATGTTGCCCTAATAATATATACAACTTTCATGTTTTTATATATATGTTAAAAAATAAATTCAGGCCATATGCAGTGGGTCAACCTGTAATCCTAGCTACTTGGGAGGCAGTGATAGGGAGAATTATGGTTCGAAGCCAGCCCAGAAAAAAAGTTCATGAGACCTCATCTCAACCAGTGACTAGACATGGTGGCACACAAGCTATGTGAGGAAGCACAAATAGGATGGTGGTCCAGGCCTGGCTGGGACATAAAGACTGTATCTCAAAAATAACCAATGCGGAAAAGGCTGGCAGAGTGTCTCAGGTGGTGGAGCTCCTGCCTTCCAAGTGTTAGGCCCTGAGTTCAACCTCCACTACAACCAAATGGATGAATGAATGGACATGGTGGTACATGCCTGTAGTCTCAACTACTCAGGATCCTGAAGCAGGGAATCTCTTGAGTTCACAAGTTCAAGTGAAAAATATTTTAATTATTTTTATAAAAACAAATTAATGAAAATACAAGCTCCATAACCTGGTCAGTTCACCCTTCTTTTGTACATTTGTACTCCTCTTAAAAAGGGTAACAGAATTGTTCTCCAATTCCAGCTTTGCCTATTCTGTCTTCAGATAGGAGCTATAAAGAACAGCTATTTTCACAGTCACATTGGCTCTTGAGTATGTCAATATATTCTAATCAGTAGGGGACATTGATTTAAAGGCAGATGTCACCAAGGAAGAGATGAGCAAAGAGGAAAGACTGCACAGATAGTCCAGCAGTACCTCTTGCTGGACAGGCAGCCAGTTTCCAGCAGATAGCACCCTATTGTTGACCATGTGCAAGTAGAAGACATGACCACCCACTTCTTTGGTTTGCCAAAAGGTTCAGCTATGCTTTAAGTCACACCTGCATTGTCAGCCTAAGAGAGTTCACCTCTTACTTACTAATTTGCTTTTCTTACTGGGTTCTGTTTTGTTTTGTTTTTTTCTTTTAGTATTCTTGGTTTTTCTTTGATGTGCTGATAAAATCCATGGCTGAGCATTTGATAGAAAACTCCAAAGTTAAGGTATGTTAATCCATGTAGAAGCTCATGTTCTTAGGGGGATTACCTCTTCCATTGTGTGCATAGGTAGCATTTATGATGATTTCCATGTGCCAGACATGGGATGGTTCAAAGTGCTTTACAAGTTATAAAAAGTTTTCACTTTATAACAACCCTACGGGGGAAATACTAGCCTTGCCCATTTTGTAGATGCAGAAGCTGAGGCCAGAGTATTGAGTTACCTGCCCAAGATTACATTGCTCATCAGTGGAGGGACCCAGGTTTTGGATCCAAAGCCTTTGTCACAGAACCACTGTGGTACAGAATCCAAAGAAAAGTGTGTCTTTTCCTTTGATTGGCTAGAAATCCTCAGTTGTGTTGAAATGGAGAAAGTGTTAAGTGTTATTGCCTAGTGTTTATTAAGTGTCTTGATTATTTTAGGCATTTCTCTAAGGCTTAGATGGATTGTCTTCTAGAACCAGTTAATGGACTCTGAGATAATCCATCTCTTTGGAGCAAATGTGCAATCTCAAATTTCCTGTCCCTCAATACTTCCTTTTTGTAGTGCCTAAATGTGTGTGCCTCTGTGGCCCTGCCCCCTGGTTCCCTCTGTCTCATGCTGTTCCTTTGTTCTCAGGGGGCCTGTCCCTGAGATGAGTGGTCTTCCCTATGACTGGTGCCTGTCAGGGTCTGATACAATTGGCCCTCTGGTTGTCCAAAACTCAAAGTAGATAGATTTTTAAAATAAAGTTCCAGTGTAAGCACAACTGGCAATGTCACTTTCTCAGTTCAATGATTAGAAGAGCTGCTTCTGAGACTTCTGTGGTGTGTATCCTTGGAATCGCCACTGTGACTGCATTGTAGCTGTGTGCGAGTCTGGTGGCAAGCATAGGTTGGCAGGAGATTGCAGGACTCCACACTCTCACCTGGAATGCTTGTGCTGTGGTGAGGTTCTCATGAGTAGGAGAAAGAAGACCTAGGGAAGGAGGGTCAGTGAATCAAGACCTAGGCCTTCTGCATAAGTGGTCTGGACACTCAGAGGAAGCTTGGACAGGCTGCTAGATTTTGTTGGACAAAGGCTGTTGGTTCTGAAGCTGTACTTTTCCTCCAGTAGAGCAGGTGCTGTGCCTGACCAGGCAGTCTCCCCCCACCCTGCTTTTTCCCCCCATTTAAGGATTCTGACTTTTAATGCATGGGGAGATGCCAAATGGAAGTGGGCCCTGTCTTCCACAAAGAAATGTACCATCTAAATCATGCCAGAACAGTCTGCCAAGGAAAAATGAGCAGATTGTCTACTTAGTAGTATGCAGCTAAGTGCATGTGTGCGCACACCATTTGAATATACTACTTTCTGTTAAAAAGTGTTGTAGTACACAGAATAGGATTATAGCCTATATTAGTTTTCTAGAATTGCCATAATACAGTACCAAAGACTAGGTTGCTTAAACAATAAAAAATTACTTTCTCATAGTGGAGATGCTGAAAATTCCTAGGTCAAGGTGTCCATGGGATTGGTCTCTTCAGGCCTCTTCTCTGCTTTTAGAAGGCTGCCTTCTGTGTAGGTCTGGGTCCTGACTTCTTACGAAGACACCAGTTATACTGGATTAAGGCCTACCCTAATGATCTCTTTAAAGACCCTATTTCCAAATAGGGTCCCCTACTGGGATATTTCAGTGAATATTCATTGAGGCCCTACTTTGTGTTGTAGTCTCAAGGAGCTCAGTGGCTACTTCATTAGAGGTGGGATCAGAGTGCTCAGTTCACTATGAAAACATAGAGACTACCTGGAGGAGCAGTGGGTCAGGATGGGTTCTAATGAGTAAATAGGAGTTTGCTAGTTCTGAAGGACTAGGCCAAGAAAAGAACTGTGATGTGAGGAGCTGGGACCACACATTCAGGGAACTACAGTTACCACTTTCTGTTTAGGACTACAGTGAAGACCACATGAGAGATGGCCCAGGAGGAAATGATTGCTCCTGAGAACACTCACAAGAAGTATATTCAAAATCTAACATCAGTACTGTGTGAGCTGTGTTAGGAATTTAATGGCAAATGTGTGTTCTCAAGATGCTAAATTAAACTGTAGCACTTTAGGGGTGGGAATGACCTGATGGTATCTTCTGGTCCACCTCCTCCCCTGTCTCACAGAGATAAAGACAGAAGCACAGAGAGATAAAGACTAACCCACAAAGTGACCTGCTCTGGTCATGACTGAGTGGAGCCAAGTATTCCCATTAGCGTTGCAGTCAGCTGCTCCCAGGTGCTCTGCCATTTCCAGCCTTACGGCGTGTTCACCCAACACCTGTGCTCTGGGAAATGGTTTATTTGTCTTTGGAACTTTATCCCAACCACTCAAATACTACCGTGCACAGCCTTTCCATAACTGAATTGTATTTTAGTCCTAAAACGGTGTTCAGAGGGTTTTTAGAGATCATTTTTAAAATTGTTATCCGGCTGGGCCTAAAAGAGAGCCCTGGCATCCAAAAGGAGGAAGCTTAGCCACAGCATAGTTTATTCTGGAAGAGACTCCAAAGTACCTCCTTACCCCTTTGGAAAGCCTCGAATTTTCACCTTTAGAGCAAGCGGCTCCTGGTCTCTGTCACTGTGTCACACAACCCATCCAGGAACTCCTTTGACATTTTCAAAGACCTCATGACGTTTGCCTTGTGTCTTAGGAGTAATGAGCTTGTATGTTTTAATTAGTTGTTTTTATGTTTGTCTTGTATTTATCAAGAATTTACGTCTTATGAATTGTATGTCCTGGCCCCCTACTCCAGGGCTCTTAATTCAGGGAACAAGTTCATATGCCATTGGTGATTTCCAAAGCTCAGATCAAATCCGAGTTGTTATATTTTAGTCTGAAGATTCATGACTAGGTATGCTCATCCCATGGGGTCCCTGAGCCCTGCACTGGTATAGGAGCCAGATAGAGAATGCTTTCACTGTGACTTCAAGTTCTCTGTCTAGCACTGATTGGCATTTGGAGACATAGTGTATGTTGAGCTGATGCCTTTATTGTAGTTCCTGGGGATGGTTGGATGACTGTCAAATTCATATTTATATGAAGGGATAAAGTCACATACTGTTTTGCTTATTTCTAGTGCTGTACTATGGCTGAAAGTGGAAGTGCTACCTATGTTCACCTGTAGTCCCAGTCAATCAACTACATTTGGTAACATTCACTTGAGGAAGGATATGAATTAGAGCCTCTCTGAAATAGCATCTGAAACGAGCAATTTCCTTACTTTAACAGGTGGACCTGCACTCTTTAGATTGATTACATATAACTGAGCCAGAGTCTAGTGCATTATAGGTGACAGGTGTTTGGAATTTACACTAAGTGGTTTTTGAGGAAACGTAGGTCATTGAGGTCTCAGGAAGTTCTCCTCCAGCTCTCTGCTTCCATGGTCAACATTTTTTGAATATTTCTTTCCAACATTTTTATTTAGTAACTATAATTTCATCAGACTTACTTCCAGTGTCCTTTCTTCCATCACTGTATCAAGCCTGATTCCTGGCATTCCACAGATGTAATTCACAAAAGAATATTGGGACATCATCATAGAGTGGTATGAATATATATCCTTAAGTGCTACTGCTTAGCCCTCAACTATTTTCTAGCTTATTTGAGTAGGAAAGAGCTTTTATTTGAAAAGCTTAAGAAAGATGGTATAGTTTGGTCTAGGCATGGTGGTGCGTGCCTGTAATCCCAGCTATTTAGGAGGCAGAAATTAGGAGGATCACAGTTCAAGGCCAGTCCAGGCAAAAAGTTATCAAAAAAAGAAAAATAAATAACTAAAGCAAAAAAGAGTTGGAAATATGGCATAGGTGGTAGAACTCCTGCCTAGCAATCACAAGGCCCTGAGTTCAAACCCCAGAAAACCCCCATCAAAAAAGATAGAATAGTTCATCTCCTAAGTGGGCTGTTTGGACTTTCTCCTAAACCAAACATGACTACATCTGTACCTGTGTGACAGCAGAGTATAATATCCATGCTTCCATCCAAGAATAAGTCTTTTGAACACTTGTTAGGTGCAGAGCACAGAGAAGAAATACAAATAGAAGGCCAGTCTTCATCTCTGAAACTGACAGGGTCATTGAAAAAGGGAACATTTAGCTTGGGATAGTAACAGCAGAGTACAGGAAGGTGTATATGCAAAGGGCAAGAATGATAAGAAGTTAATGTGATGGAACTTCACCTGGACTTCAAAGGCTGCCACATTTAGACAAAGGAGAATGAGTTTTGACAGAAGAAACAGGTCAGGTGCAGGTAAAACCTCCAGGACAGAGCTTAGATTGGTTAAATTGAGATGGAGGGGAAGAATATAAAACAAGACGAGCTCAGAAACAAGGGTCAGGTTATTGAGAGCTTAGAAGCCAGCAGCTGTAGTCTCTAAAGAGATTGTAGAGATTCAGAATAGGTCATTCAGTAAGAGAGACGAGATATATATTTTTAAAAGGTGCAAATGTTAGCAGAGTGGTTTAGAAATTCTTATATCAGTGAGTTTACCTACTTACTGAGATTTAACAGAACAATGGAACAGATTCATGCATCTGTCATTTTTTACATTTGTTTCTTTTAGCTCTTTACCTTTAGTAGTATGAAATGGCATTTTATGGTGATGCTGATGAAGATTGTAGCATTAGGAGAAATGAGGTGGGATTGGGGACCAGGATGAATAGTGTTATGACTGAATAAGAGAGATTAAGACAGAACCATTAATTCAACCGAGCAGTTCCCTTGTAGGTGTTTACTAAAGAAAAAGGAAAGTACATACCCACACAAAGACCTGTACACAAATGTTCATAGCAGCTTTATTTATAATTATCAAAAACTGGAACCAATGTACTCAGCTGGCAATTGAGTAGACAAATTGTGGTAACTCCAGGTAATGGAATACCATTTAGTAATAAAAAAGGAACAAAATATTCATTCTTAGATGAATCTCAAAAGTATTATTAACTGAAAGAAGTCAAATACAAAAGACGACATAGTGGATGAGTTCACTTATATAACATTCTAG